TAACAAGGGTGACCCAAAGGAGGGGTTCTACTGTATATAACAATTGAAGTGATAACCACAAATAAAGAAATATACATGAACAAATTCAAATAAATAACGAATAAACTAAAATTCCAAATCAGTAGCCACTTAAAAACGATTGAAATTTAACAAAAACATGTTTCTCCTTAAAAAAAATAATATCATGCTTTATAAATTATACATTTGTAATGATTTAATGTTGTATACCAATTGAAAATATGTAAAAAAAAATGAAGACTGAATAGTTACAGTAAAAACAGTAAAGTCTTAGATTTTGCTATATTGACATACTGTATTTACTCCTCTCTGGGTTAGTATGGAAATATATTATATATAATATACAAATCACATAGATAATAAACCAACTTTTAAACTTTTTTTATTTAAAAAACTTTCCTTGTGTTAAAATAGAAATCTAATGTAATAAATATGTTTTAAATAGTATTAGATCAACACTAAATTAAAATGATAATTTGAAACACATTCAGAGTTAATAACATAATATGATAATCATCCAAAAATACAATTTAAAAATATGTAAAATTACCAGTAGTCGTTAAATACATATTACATATTAATGTTCTCTAGTGGAGGATTGATACATTCCAAAAGTGTTTTGCTGCATCTTTTTCTATCGTCTTTCATAGATGGATGGATGTCGAATATACATAACCAAAATAAATGATTTTTTCTATCGATTACGCATAGAACAAAATAAGTTAGTTTGTAGTATGCAATAGAATAGTATTATTGATATGGTCCAAGACGTTACATAAATTTGAATAAAAAATATATAAATAAAAAAGGCTAGTTTATTTATTTACCTATGGCATTAAACAATGTCAACAAAAGCTAAGATAAGATTGTTACAAGCATCTTAAATGCAATTAAAAAATAAACTAATTTATCAACAGCTTTTAATACAAGTTACAAATGAAAAAGTTATGCAATATTCACAGTTCAATTATAAATTTACAAATTCCAAAAAAAACATGAATATGGAAAGTATATATATATATATATATATAAATTTAATGGCAAATGGGCCGATAAACCCATAAAAACAACGAGCAGCCACATAAATGCAAATGATGATAATATAAAGTTTAAACGGAACAGTAGAGAAAATCCGATCAAGAATGACAAAACAAACTAAATATCCACTGGAAAAAATCCCAATATCTGCAGACGGATCCGTTTCGGCCTTCTAGGCCTCATCAGTGCAGCTAAGGTAAAGATGAAGACCAAACGTTATGACCAGCTTGAGCAGGGCCTAGGCTAGCCCGACGTTCAACTGCAGCATCGCTAATGAACCGTCAATGCCAAACCAAGACAGTATATAGATACGGCCCAGGTGTGGATGCAAATATTGGAACAAGAGCTTTGCGCCTACTTGATTATGGAATGTTATGGGGCGGAAGACTGTTCCAGTAAACACAGAGTATATTTTGTCATTCTTAACGCGTCCTCTACGAGACTCTACCAGACAGCACTAGTCGGTGGTCCCA